AGTGGAACTAGAATAGAGCAATAGAGATGATCAAACATGGTATGGCTTGTGTACTGGAAAAGACCAAAGTTACTACTGCGTTCCAGCTTAAGAGTATAAAGAAAGCGACCGAGAAGCAGTAACAGGGATGTAACAGAAACACTGACAGCACACAGAGGGCAAACGCGACACCTCGCTCCAGTTCCTCAGAATCCATTATGAACAGGGCATGGAGTGTATTTCTGATATGAAGGAACAGATCTGAAACAACAAAAGGAAACTGCGGGGTCGCTGCTGCAGGGTGCCACAGCTACTAGAAAGACCAACCAAATGCAGGAAAAGGTGTTTAAAAAAAGAAATTAACATTTCAATTTGCGACATGTAGTCATTAATTTTAAACAGGGATATTGCCATTGCCCTCTGATACTTTTCAAGTATCTTCTCTTAAAATCAAGAAGTTACAATTACATGGAAAAAGTGAATGAGCAAGGGGTCAAAAAACCAGCCATGTTTTCCAGTATCGTTAACCAGCCACTGAAAATTACAGCTTCATCTCCTGCTCCCAGCTAGACCCACATGTACCTGGATGCTTGCTGTCACTACAAATGCAGCGGTTCCAGGTTTGTGGCAGGTAAAAGGGATGAGAATCCAGCTCTGTCTGCATTTCTCACTCTTCACAGAACAACGGAGTCAGGCCAAAGACATTTTACTTTTTTACAGCTGCTCTTCATAGACAGCTAAAGATCTTTATCACAATAAAAACAGAAGGCACTTCCACAGAGTGCAATTATGTGTTACTACAGCTGACTATTGCCTTCCAGAAGTAGGAAATGGCTGGAAAAAAACGTATTTTCTGCTTCAGCCATACTCTGAGGTCCTTTCATAAAACATTAGCCCTAATCCTTGCACAGATTAAATGGGAAATCCGGTATTGTAGGGCTGAAAATCTGGAGAGGGGGCTTCAACACATCATTGATGGCAGCTCTCTACGTCATTGATCACAGATGTGCCACCGCGGTGACTTTAGTGTAAGCCAAGCTCTGCTCTCCTTCCCTGCCACCCCAAAGTCCGCATCCCAGGGCTGGGAAGGAGCTCATTTCTTACAGTTTGTTCTCACTCCCATAGGGTAAGAAATCAAAAACCTGAGGCAGTACATCCTACAGAGCTCTTCTTTTTGCACAGCAGACTGTCATTACAATAAAACACAGACAGGGCTCAGCACCAAGCAAGGACAAACTACTGCTGCACAAACCAGCAAAGCAATGGGAACATATTAACAGCTGCACGCTTGCCAGCAGAAATGTGCTGTCTAGCCAGCAGGTACACACACTGTCAGCCCTACGTCCGGACATGTAACATTTCACATTCCTGATCCTCTGATGAGGACTAAATTAGGATCATTGTGCATATCCTAGGATCCCTGGCAAATCAAACACATTGTTAAATGAGTCATTAGCAGACAGGCCTCTTCTGAAAATGGACTTCTGACAACGTTCTCTTCCGGGGCCAATTCTCACTACCAAAAGGGTTCTTGCAAAAAAGTCACAAAGATGAGAAGTATGATCCAGAAGAGGTGTCTATGAATTGCACGCTGCTTCCCTATTACCATAAAATAATAATGATCCCGATGTTTTACCACAAAGCTTTCTGCTGAAGGTTTCACAGATCCTTATAAAGATTAATTTCACTCCTGGGAAGAGAAGCAGGATCCTCTAATCTGGGAAGGCTCAGGGAGAGGAGAGGTGTCTTTTGCCTTGTATGACACCAGGCTGCAGCAGAGCTGGGAGCAGAACACAGACCTTTGCCTCTCATTTTGTACACCAAATATAAGATCATCAAATGCTGCCTATTTATTTTATCTCCTCGCAAAAACATTTTTGATTGCTACTTCTGTTTCTTTTCTCAGTGAATAAATTTTTTAGAGAGAGCTGCAGTAAATCTGACAGCCCCAAATGCCTTTAGAAAGGATAGACACAAGCAATGTGAAATGGGGCCACGGCATATGGATGGGACTCACATACTTAATGCAGTGTCTCGCCCGTTGCCTTATCCACTGTGAACTGAGATTCGAGGGGAGAGAACTCGTTTCCTTTCTAAACCCTGGGATTTCAGTCTTCAAACTGCTGTTCTGCAGTGCAGAGCTGTGCACGCTGTTGGCACACCACACCAACAGTGCGTAAAAGAAACTGTGACTCAATTTTAAAGGGAAATATTATTTGCTGCTTCTATAATCACTGATTACTAAGGATATATTATTTCCAAAGACAGTCAGCCTAACTAAGCAGGACTTTTCACGTCTTGTGTTATTCACAAGCTTCAGCCATTCACCTGAATTCAAGGACCTTTTACTTTTCCAAGAGTTCTCTACCTCTGCCCTGTGTTTTCCTCATTCCATCTCTTTTCAGTGCTTGGTCCTCTCCTCATCCTCCTCTCTTGCTGTCTGTAGTCTCTTCCCCTCCTTTCTTTACAGTCATTTCCATTTTCTTTGAAATGTTTTGGCATTTAGTGCCGGCTTTATTCTTCCTTCTCCATCTGCTGCTCTTGTCTTTCTAAATTTCTTCTGGAGGCTTCTCCTGGGAGAAAGGAAGAGCCACGTTTTTTCATTTACTGCCTGCTCTTCCTGAATTTCAGTTTTGCTTCTTTTGCTTAAAGGACTAAATCAGACAATCCCCCTCCCCCTGGAGCTGGTGTACCACTGTAATGTCTTCACACCAGCCCCACCAAAGCCAGTACCACGGTGCCCTTCCTTTACACACCAACATCTCTAGAAAGTCACTGAAATATCTGGCATTTCTCCTGTATGCTCGAAGGGTAATACTGCAGCAAGCAAAACTACCACCAGGTGTTACTCCCCTGCCTTGCGCTCAATGCTCATGGCGCCTTCCAGCCCTGCTCCACCAGCTGAAACCCCATTTTAAGGGAGTTCATCCTCCCTAAGGGTTTTCTTCTCTATCAAATCTTCTGTTTCATCATCAGGACTCACAGGGGACAAAGGAAAGCTAATGAAGCTTAACCACTTACATCACTGCTTTTATACAGACTTCTCCTATACTGTCTTTCTAACGTATTTTAATTTGGGGCTCAAAGTCACAACCCTGAGACATGTCCCAGCTGCCTCCCTCCTCCGGGAACAGACCAGGAGGACATGGAAGGTAATACAGATATCTGGCATTAGAAGAGTCCAGGAAATAACAAGCTTCTTCTGCAAAACATTCAGCCCTATCGGCTGCACGCCTTTCAGCTTCAGCATAACACAAGTTGATCTCCAATTAATCACTGATTAATTAAACTAAGTATGAAGACTGTGGTGAAAGAACTACTTCTGTTACAAGTTTCTATTTGCCAGCTTCAAGATAAAGCCTGACTCTGTGAAAGTCTTCCTCTTATTTCTGTGATGCATATAATTGTTATTGTAGCTTAGCATGGATGCCTTTAAAACATTCTGCTTTTAAAAAGGATACTGGAAAACAAGCACCAGAAAGCTAAAAAGCCAAAATCCTGTAGCCAGCAAGATGGATTTTGCAAAAAGAAATGAGATGAAAATTGCACAAAAAACCCAGAATCTTTTACAGTTACAGTTATGTTGCCAAATATAAGAAATGAGCCATCTATTGACAATTCCAAAACGAAATGAACAAGAACACGAGCAACCACCAAACCTTCTAAAAACCTCCAAACATTAAGATCCTTGCTCCTACCAGGCGCTCCAAAAACACAGCACAAGAGCCAATTGTTTCTTAGATTTGCTTTGCAAGTTTCATGTACCAGTTCTGCTCCGAGCACAGAGATTCTGCTTTATTCCATGTCTGGAGATACCTGACCAGTAAACGAACAGCAGCCATCAGAGCAGCAGAGTGACAAATCTGACACCTACTCCTCTCAGTTTTTAAACAAATTGTTGTTTGAATAAGTTGTTATTTTCAGTTACATCAATGTTTTAAACACAATGCGTATTTCTATGGATCTGTTATAATGCAGAAGGGAGAAATGTATTTAGCAAGATATAACTGATCTGAAATGCACCCAGCTAAAAGACAGAAATAAACCAGAAGCACAACTCCTGCTCACTCTGCTCCATTCTTCCCTGGCAGCTGCTGAAGTTTATGGTTTCCCACTTCCCATCTGAAAACAGCAAACTCTCAGCTACAAGTGACTAAATGTAAAGCCACAGCAAGTACACCAGCAAAGAGAGAACGGGGAAAGTAATTTGCTCAGCTAATGACTTGAAAGTTATACACGATCACAGTGACAACAGATTTTCACAGAGAAGCCTGATTTAAGTTGATTGACCCTTTCAGCATTTCTAGGGAAACTACGTATTATAAAACTAATTCAGTGAAAAATGACAGTAAAAATAGAAGCGATGAGACATCTTCTAAATAAGCAAAGCTGCTTTTACAGCATGCTGAATAGTTGGAGTGTGGAGAACATACCACTGTTATAAATAACAGTCACCCTTTTGACTTTATTCTTAATTATTTCAAATTCTTTGTAGGCATTAACGAAGCAAGCCTCACAGTTTTGTGAAGAAAATTACTCCCATATAAAGGAGGAAAAATGAAGGTATGGGTTCAGAAAACAACCCTTTGAAGTTAGTGGAAGATGTACAGAAAACATAGGAGTTCTCACAGTGTAAGAAAAGAAACACCTTCTCATCCAGACCCAAGTGTTTAGCAAGAGACCAGTCTGTAGCATTTATACAGCATTTAAACTTACACAAAAAGTTACATCAACACTTTCAGATGTAGCTGCAATTTGTGAAAGACCAAGTCACATCCAAGTTTTATGCAGATAAGTGAGGCCCAAACAAGTTCTTTTTTAATGGAAACTGCCCATTTCTCCCTACTGAGGTACATTTATGTTCTGCTTCAACACGTAGTCATAAAATTATCAAAAAATAACCTTCCATGTTGGAAGTGCTAGCTGCTGCCTATGTCATATGAAACACTTTGCCAGAATACAGCTGAAAAACCACTAAGACCTGGCACAGCAATGATTAGTAGGTAATCGTGTCTCATTACCTTTGGGGTCTTCTTGGGCCAGCTGACCACAGGGACACCCGAAATCGCAAGATTTTGGTCATCATCAGCATGTTCTTTCAGAATGTTCTGTTGTGAACGAAAAGGTCTTTATTAACCAGAGGAATATTCTTCCGACTCAGGAGCACAGAGACTTCATGACTGTAATATCCCACCCTCACGAAGAAGAGTGATGTGCGCTCCACTGATTTGTTACATCTCTAAGTTCATTTTCCTTCAAAACTTCAAGTCACAATGAAACCCTTGCATGTCTTTAAGATGCAAAAGATGCATTTCTTTGCAAAACAGACAGCGAAATCACTCACGAATAGCCTCAAATGTTACAGATTTCTTTAAAATTGGTGTCTCCAAAAGACTAGTGTTTCCCACTGGTACCGGTCTACTACCAATATTACCTCTCCCTGTACGTACACACTAGTTTGCTGAAACCCAAGCAATCACCAGCACCTGTCCCTAATCAATTCTGCAGAAGACCCAGGAAGATTTGGACTCTAGCACCATTAGTCCTGCAGTCACGGGGCGTTGGCTGGGCAGTTTAGAGGCATCTCGAATGCTTGAATACAAAGCTGAGTCACGATACAGAACCACCACACATTGCAGCCTTTATGTATGGCAATTCAAGAGCACTGTCATTTCCACTGCCTTTTCTTCCACAGAGAAGTGCAGGTCAGAGTTGGTGCAACCCAACTCCCTTTGCGTGAGCAAGTCAGACATTCAGCTTCCTGCACATTCACTAAATTATCTGACTTGGGCTAGTGCAGTATGAAAGGAAAAGATTGGTCTTCCCTCCTTCCCACCCCCTCCAAATGCTTTGCGCTGATGAAACCTCATGCATCCTAAAAATCTCAGGAGTGGGCTGTGCTGGCTCACACAGCTCCTGCTGCTGTGACTCACCGCCATTCCCATACAACTCAATGCAGGGGTGGGGAAGAAGAACTCCTTTTAAGTGTACTCAATGGTGCAGTCAGGAACGGTCCGCGCTCCCTGCGACTCCCCCTGTGCTTACTAACCTAGCCACAAAGCTCTTCATGTGGAGTGCAGGCTGCTGGAAGAGACAACAACCGAAAACAAAAAACAAGTCCAAAGGAAGATTCTGCTGAGCTGCTGAAAACTAAGGCCCGAGTAAGTACTGCCAGGTTAAGGAAAAAAAACTGCTCCAAGAGCACAAACAAGGACTGCAGGTTGGAAACTACTCCTAATGTAATTGAGGAGGTCACACAGACAAGGAAAGTCAACGATGTTGCTCCAAATTACAATGACTTCTTGAAAAAAAAGCTTAACTAGACACCACCAGGCATTGGGCACTCTCAGTCCCCAGTGCAGAGCTTTAATAAACAGAAATTTCACACACCATGCTAAGAGATCCTAAAGTACAGTAATTTTTTTTAACATGAAACACACTTGGAATTCCTCTGTAATCAGCTAAATACGATGACACGCTGTAGCCCAATGAGCATCTCAGCAAGGCTCTGCACCAGTGGCCATGGGCTTTCCCTCCCTGGAGCTACAACAACTTGCTGGATTCTGCTCAATTACCCCCCTGACCTTAATCTGGAGGTGCTTTCCTATCAGAGGCCGCAGAACCAGCACAGCGCTGGTCCTGTTATCCCAGTAAGGCTGCTTTAGATGTTGACTACCCCCAAAGCAGTCCTATTACCAAAGTGAGTCATACCAAAAGGCAACACAATGCTTGGCACAGCCTACAGCACACAGCCAACACGACGGTCTTCAAGTGGAAGATCTTTCAACTTTCACACATTAGTTATAGCAAATGAACTCCTGATGGAGTTGAGCAGGGCTAAGTGAACACCTCTTTCCTCGTGTCCATTTCTTGTGTCCTTTTCACACTAGAACAGCAATCACAGCATTACACATGACAACATTCTCAAAGTTACTCTTCAGTCATAAAAACTGAGAGGCCTTTGTGTTGTAGCAAAACCAAAATTCTTCAGAGGAAGAAGGCAGCTCTTTACTTTGATACGCTTAAATTTGGAAATTTGCAGGACAGCAAACCTCAACCTTCCCACTGAGGACTGTGAGAAACTCTGAGATCAATAGAAAGCAGAGCACGTTCCAGGAACTTGGCAGAATACTGCAGGTTTCTTGTTATCATATGTATCACGTGAAAATATTATCTAAGGAGAAACTTAGAACTGTAGCAGTTTATCGTATCAGCCAGCTGAAAACAATACGTGTCTCAGCAGCAGAACCATAACCAAGCCACAGCTGCACAGCCAAGTGTCAAATGTCGGCACACGGCGGGGTGGATGGAGGCAGCCTTCTGTTCACCTGCTAAAGGGGGAAAAATAAACAAAAAACAAAAACCGGAGATAAAGAAAGGCATGAGGCTCCAGTTAGCCAAACAACTTGATGCTCATCCAGCACAAGGCCGCCTGATTCACTGCACTTGAAGGCTGTGGTGACAACAGCAGGTAAGAAGGAAAGAAATTGATTAAGTATGTATGAATTAAGCTTAGGCATTAATTTCACAAGCACAGCAAGGAATAACTCCCCTGAAATGCATTCTGTAAAGGGAGGGTGGTTTTTTTTCTGCCATCAGAATAAGAACAGGGTAAGATTTCTTGGCAAGAAAAAGTAAGAACATATTTCAGTAGATATCATCTGTCTTGCACAAGAATCTGCTGCTGCTGCCAAGGAGTTGCGGATATTTGACAAACTCCGTTCTGCAAACTGAGTTTCTTCTGCCCTAATGGACTTCCACAGTGCCTTTGAAAGAAGAGCAGCATTTTTGCTTTGAAGTGGGGAAGGTCTGTGGCATTTTAAGAGGCCGATCTCACAGTCCTCTTCCCCAACAAGGGAATTATCATCCTGCTAGTAATGCAGGAAATGCTGTGTGCTGAAATCAGAGACTGCATACAGACAAGCAGCGCTGGCAGTGTTTAATGTGGGCTGCAGACTGCTCAGGTTTACCTGTCTGTGATGTGGGGTGCAAACTGAAGCAAGGAGCAAGGTGGTTACCTCTCTGTTCTCTTCTTCATGCCTAAGCCCACCCTGACTGCATCTTTAGCAGGCTGCCGTGCCGTTTGGCAGCTAAATATGAAGTGGAGAAGCCACACAAGGAAACTCTTTCAATCCCCAGGGTTACCATCTTAGAAATATTTATTCCTCATCCTATTTTTTTTTTCTTCCTCATCTGCTCACTGTAGGAACATGTGTGACACTTCAGCTGCTATTTCATTTTTAAGTTGAAATACAAGGAGCAAGCCATGCCACAGTTTCATACCTGAGCTTTAGGGCATGCATATGTGGAACACAAGGTGCAACTGCAGGCTGTGTGTGCTTCCAACAGATAACACCAACAGCAGTGACGTGGCAGCAATGGCTGCAGAGCCTGCTGGTGCTCACCCTGCCAGCAGCTACACTGCCTTCTGTTCTCTGTGCGGTGTGGGTCAGCAGAGCACCCTCACATTTGCTGCACATACTCTCTCACACAGAGCCCAGCAGCAGACACTGGGATACAGACAATATTGCATCTCCTCTGCTGATTGTTCAGATGCCATCTGCTAGGGAGTGAACGCTGCTGTCAGTAATCGCTGCTTGGAAGCTGCTGAGAAGCTCCTTTAGTGGTGAACACCAGGCTTGTGGGATACAATTCCCATACAGCAGAGCTGCAGTCAACAACTATTTAATTCCTTGTTTGAGATGAAAGAAGAACCGACCTGCTCCCCAAGTGAGGCCCGTGCTGTGCTCTGCAAATGAGCCTCCCTTGCATTGCTGCACTCCATCGATCATGGTGATAAATGGGATCTCAATCTGCAGAGGCATCAGCTGGACACTTCTGGACTGCTGTGTCCCCCCTAGATAGTCACAGTTAGTTAGGAGCTTAGACAACATGCAAGGAGTTTACACAGGCTTAGATTAGTTTTCACTCTCCCTTCTCATAAGGAAAACAAATTACTTCACTACAGAGAGTCTCACCTACTTGACATTAAATACTGCATATAGCTGTAGTTGTATTTACCACACAGTGCAGTAATCCACTCACACATACTGTATCCTTGCTTCAGACAGGAAACCATGAATTCTCTGCAAGTTATCCTGATTCTGTGAAACTTTGCATTACTGAATAAAATGGTTTTCTTTCTCCAATGAACTGTCCTTGTCTGTCTTCTGAAAACACCGAGTATCTATCCGAGGCACAAAGACTTCAATGTCAGAGAAAAAGTTCCTGGGTGTATTTCATTAAGAAATAAAACTACTACAATAAACATGGTTTTATTTTTTTCAAGAGCTGCAAACTTTCCAAGCAGAGCATGAACTTTCAGACATTCTGTCAGAGCATGTTCTTGCTGTGCGCCGGTTAAAAATAACTCTCAAGCGGGAGTACTAAAGGGCTGCTTTTTATAGGCTGCATTATTAATCCATCACATGCACGAAATTCAGGTTGCCCACAAAACAAACCTTGTGAATACAGCTGAATACAGGCATGGCACAAATGGTCTGCAAAGCTCTTTCTGCAGGATCTCTACCTCCATTCAGTTGCACCAATGACTGGTGCTCTGGGGATTCTTCAGAGCTGCGGAACAGATGCCAGGCTTCTGCTCACTCTATTGCTATTGCTAGCAGCAAAATCCCCATATTATTATCTGCTCAAGTTGGAAAGCTGGTAGCAAAGTAAAAGGAAATATGATTTTGTGGTCAAGGAGATAAAAATAATTCTGGAAAAATGGGCTGTATTTCTTCTTCTGTCATTATGTCTCTGTACGACACATAGAAAACCTTTTAAGTCAACACTTCACAGGTGCCACCCCTCCGTCACACCTGGCTTGGGAACCAGGTGCTGAGGATCAGAACTTCTGTCCTACAGAAACGTTAAGCAATTACAGTTTCAACGCCATTAAAACTATCTTTTGCAAGTATCACTCTTGAACAACACTAACTATTCCAAAATCACATCAGAGACACGTAAAAACGTATCCGAAATTACGGTCACTTCATCTTTTTGCAGCTCGGTTATCTACCTGTGAACCATGGCTAACAGCTCATCCATCACCACTTGTGAAGCAGATGACTGCTGCAGTGATGAGCACCACTGAGATCCCCATGGGAACATGGCTATCGCCGCGATCAGCCGAGGGTCTGAACAGCACAATGTTCCTCAACAGCAAGGACAGAACAAAATCAACAGCAGCTGCATTCTGCACAGCAAGCATCACAGGAACTCTGCAGGAGCCATTATGTTAGAGAGACGCTCAAGGAGCTGAAATGAGTCATTAGGCAACTTTTCCTTCGGTCGGCTCTACCCCATGAAGGTAAAAGCATGTACTGATGTGGTTGGTTTTGTTGTCTTAACAGCCAACAAACCTAGTAAAACAAACCATGCAGTTCAAGTACCATGTGGATGACAAGGAGACAGGAATTATTTACTACGCCATGTTAACGCTCACTCTCTGAAAACTGAGAGCTGCTACGTGGGACAGCTCTGTAAAAAGAGAGGTAAGACAAGAAAGTTCTTCAGCAGTTCAACTGTTCACGAGAACACTCATCAGTCAACAACCTTTCAAGAAGACTTGCTCTGACTAATCCATCCCAGCTCACCAACGTTCAGGGGTGATTCCAGAAAACATTATTCTGCAGCATGTATGATGTTTAGATGTGGTCATGAGCTCTTTAACGAGCAGGGAGCCATAAAGATCCAGATGTTGGGCACATCCTGATGGTTACAGTGCGTGCTGGCACAGACTGGAGTTTAGATGCAGGCAATTTTCTGTGCAATTATCAAAGGAGATGGAACATCAAGATCACAGCTCTGCCAAGAGGCACAAAATCAACTGGCAGATGCCCACTTCATACCAATTAAAGCACAGCGGCGCTGAAAGAGCACAAGGGCCTTAAGTGTCCACTCAAAGTTCTCCATCTCTGTAACTGTGAACCCGCTGCTCTGGGGAAGGCTAAGAAAGCACTGCTCCTACATGGTGTTGGAAACCAGATTCACATCTGGTATCTCACCATGTTCTAGTAAGAAGTCTTGCAGTGCAGTGCAGTTTGTCATAACAGAGCACGCACACTCGCACCTGAACATCCGCACCACGGATCACACGGCGCACCTCTCCCTGGGGTCTCAAGAAGGGGCAGTTTATTTTTAAGTGGAACTTGGTCCACTTTAAACTTCAGGACAAAAGTTCCTTCTGCAATGCAAACGCCTGCCTCCCTGAAGAGCAGATCTGTCACTAGTGGGCATTCGCTCCTCATACCTTCTCCACACTGTACCAGTACATTGCACCAATGGAGCATAATTATCAACCTATAGAGGGCAATGGAGGAAAAGGAAATGAAATAGGTTAAAAAATAAAAAATAAAAAATGAAAAGGAATAAGAAATGCTAGAGGAAACATTTGACAATCTTCTGCACTAAAATCACACGTGTATGTATTGTATGTGTCAGTTATACACACTCCAGAAAAGAGACTCAAAAGGGAAGATTAAGACTATAAATATAAACAGACCGCTTGGGGTATAATATTTACACATGGGACATAAGTGCTAAACTGCAAAAGGATGTAAACTTTTGGTCCCTGAGCACAGCTGCAACAGTCAGAAATGGCTGCACTGCATCAATCAAATCAGGCTGCAACCAGCTGCCTCCCCAGTGCAAAGATGGCTTGTGTCACAGGCACAACTTCCCCCTCCATGGCACAGCAGGCTGATAGGAAGAGGTCACCATATACAAGCTTCTACCTCTCTACTGCAGACCTTTGCCTCCTGACCTCCTTCTATCTCCTGTGCCCACAAGACACAGTTTGTGCGGATCAGAAAGCTATCACACTCACCTTCATGTCCTCCAGGAGAGCCTGCGGATCTTCAATGCCTTCTGGAACACACTTCTTGTTCTCTGGGAGAGATTCAAGCTTTTCCACCAGGGCTTTCAAACCCTTCAGTTCAAATTCTGTGAGATGAGTCCATTTGGTTGAAACTTCTGTAGCTGGAGACCCCGTTGGTGTTTTGGGATAATCCGTGGGGGTCGTTGATTTTGCACTGTCATCTGACTCATTAGACAAAGTTCTTTTTAGGTACCTCATTACTGTGGCTTTTTGTTTTCTCCCCGCACCCTCTTTTCCTTCTGAATGTGTGCTGTTGGGTGAGGAGGAGCCATCCACCAGGGATTTGGAGTTCTTATCCAGGCTGTCATCCTTTTCCTCCCGGATATGAGCATCACAAGATTCTTCATCCATGTCTAACCACGAATCTGATGAATAGCTGTCTATGCTGCGTTTTCTCTTTGCATCTGAAAGTTAGAAAAGGAATGCTGAATCTTTACCCAATATAATTTATAGTTTAATGCTTCTGTGACTGGGACTAGGAGCTGCCTATTTAAAAGGGCACTGGACAATGCCAAGTCAGTATGCGACAGGAATGAGCTTTATTCAGCCTATTTTTCTGGGTTGTTTTTTCATGTTTCATTTTTTTAATGCTGGCCTTTTTGGTTAAATCTGCTCAGTTTAAATGAGTGGGAAACATTTTGGGGAAAAAATATGCTTTCTTTAGCACTTCAATCTTCTCTGATTTCAATTGAGAATATGCAGAGTCCACATACAATTAATTTTTCTGGCAATCCAAAAGAGATCAGATTCAGTAACCTTACAGCTTTAAAATAAAAGTTATATAATAAATAAAGAGGAAAGGAAAAACGATGGGAAAAAGCATGTTAAAATGCACTACAACATCTCCTTTAAAGCAACTCTGCATAGCACAAAACCAATTTCTCAGTACTCTCTGTTTGCAAGCAACCATTGGTAAAACAAAAACTTCAATTTGTTACTGCACAAATACTCTTTGCTCTTCAGAGACAGAAGATTACAGTTGTGCTTTTTCTTTTTTGCAGACAAGTAGCCTAAACACACTGAGAAATGCAAGGACAGAGAGTCACGTGATGTTGCTTCTCTAACTGCAGCCCCTGATACATTCTAGGTACTTTTTGAGAAAATTTAAACCCAAGTTTCTGATTCTACAGAACTATTTATCTCAGTTTCATATTAAGTTTCCCCTAAAAATCCCCACTGTTACCCAACTGTATGCAATCGAGCCATGAAATCTAGGTAGGAAACTAGTGGCCAAGATTCTGGTCACAGCCAAATCCAGCTCCACGTGTAGTACAGGCAAACTTCCTCCCTGCATCCCCCCACTAAAACTTCACCATGAAGTAGCAAGAACGCAGTTTGTTTTGTGTGTTGAAGTGGTGGCATGCAAAACTCCAGCGCAGCTTCTCGTCTCTGCTCCATGCTAACATACCTCCATGCTTCTCTTGGAAAAATAAAACGGATTAGAAAGTATCTTAACCAGAACACCTCAGAAACACTAGGTTATCCAACTTCTATTTAATACTGCTTTTTCCTTTGTCCACAGAAGCCAGCACACTTATCCACCTCGAAGCTATATAATCAGCTTATGTCATTTTCCCATTTTACAGTTGAAGAAACAGATGCTTGGGAGAAAGAAGGATTTCTCATTGTCACACATCAAATCTAGTGCAAAATCAGGAATCAGAATCCAGTCCCTTGGGTGCAGCACTGGAGCCTGTTCTCAAGGCCATGCTGCCCTGGTGAACTATTTAGCAATTGACTGAAGCACAAAACCACTTTTAGGTGGGAGAAGACACCAGCAATAAAAAAGAAGCAGGAGAGAGCAGATACACATCCCTGTGCTGGTAGTACTAGTACAGTGCTATCAAATAAATTGGTGTAATTCTGTACAAAGAAAATTATGTTTCTGTCTTCCTGTGCTGTGGCTCTGCTGAACAGGAACTGATGGCTGTAACTGGGACAAATCACGAGCACAGATAAGGCATAAGGAAAGAGAGGGAGATCACGTTATGGAGCTGTGAATAATTTACTGCAAGTAATGCTCTGGTGCTAAGAGAAAACAGCCTTCAAGAGAGCTCCACTTTTTGTCTCTTGCTCTGATCTACTGAAACAAAAGGCAAGAGGAGAGCGGAGCATCACAGCATAGGAGGAACCATTCCCATCAGAAGCAGGCACACCAGGGCCAGCAGCTCAGCTGTGTCCGCTGCCACTGCTCCGCACAAACCAGGCACTGCTGCACCGCTACATCTGGGAATGGAGAGTCACTAAGTATGAACACACACAAATTAATCTAACCTCAAGATGAGCCATCATGACACAAGTGCCCGTTTGCATGCCTGACAGTTACGTGATGGCTGGCCTAACTCTACCCATGGGGCAGGGCTTGCTAATAACCTGAAGTGCAGCAGCCTGTTCTGCAGCACTGGAGGATTACAGTCCTGTTACACCATCAGATTAAGAGTGGACTGCTTTCAAGACTCAACAACTGTCTGCTGCTGTTGCTAATTTAAAAACAAAAACAAAACAAAAACAAAACAAAAAACAAGGGAATCAATAATGGATGGATATCTTCACAATGAGGAAGGTTCAATTTTGTGTTTTCAAGTATTTTGTTATAATGCAACATGCCATGATTTTTATTTATTCATTTTAATGAATACAGTGTCTGATTCAGAGTTACTACGCTGTACAAGTATGCCCTACATAAATGTAAGCTGTACTTACTTTGTCAAGAAGTGCATTTTAAGCACTATACTGTGAGAGCACCACTGGCTTGGAGGTTTTTTTTATAAAGCCTCTCCATGGAAAAGAGCTCCTAAGTGCAACTGTGGTTTCTTCCAAGCCAGTGCCCCAGCCAACGCCTGGTTAGAACTCCAGTTTCTCAGTGGTTGGCCAGTTCAGATTCCCATCCCACTGAGGCTGCCCTAAAGGCCTTCATCATTCCACAGTGCTAAGGAAATAAACCCAGGTTATACAACCTGCCCGTGGTATAACTCAGAAGAGCAGCAGCTTCCCAGGTTTGACCTCAGGGCAGAGCTGGAAATGCCCTCTCCCCTCCCCCCGCCCCCCTGCAATTCAGTTCTCTGTGATTCTGGGCGAATCACTTAACTTTCTCCACGTGTTACAAGTATCCTTGTACAAGAAGGATAATTTTACAGTTTCTTTCCTTGCTGAAAAGTGACTTCTTGTATTACAGGACTTAGAAGATACGGAGGAGGCGAGATGTAATTACAATATCTTTTGAACTCTTTACAGCAGACCAATATCTAATATCTACCTTGCTATTTCCAGTTTCAAACCCTGGCACAGCAGTTCCTATTGGTCTGCTAAAGACAGCAATAACATACTTGTTAGCAGGAAACCAAAACAGCAGCAGCCTGAGCATACCAGAAATGTACTGCATGGAACATTCCACACAGAAATCACTCAACGTAGCCCAGTACCTGTCCATCAATAAGTGAATCTATTCTGTCCCCTGAGAAGGAGAAAGTAAAGACATGGCTCCTTCACCGTGCCAGAGAGCAGATTTTCTTCATCCATCAGGCCTAACACACAGTTACAGCCATCCTGTTAAAATTTTAGCAATAGGGATCTTAAAAGCTGCAGGCGACAGAGAAAGCGTATTTCCGATAGCACAGTATCTTCTCCCAATTACTCTTTGTCAGCTCACTCTCAAGATCCATATCTCACTGAAGGTCAATTGTGCTTGAAAACATCCAGTACAGACTCATTCATGATAAGAGTAAAAATAATGAAGACATATCCCTCCTGAAACACTGCATGGTCAAATCCAGCTTGAAACCCAAATAGAATCCCCTTCTGACTTCAGCTGGCAGGATAAATGTTGCAGCTGAGAGGGGCAGGGGAAAGATAAAGGGGAGGGAAAGAGATGGTGTGCTTTTACAGCAGCCTGTGATTTCTATCATGTCATCATTCCCCTGAGCGCCTGCCCTACAGTGGCAGAGATGAGAAGAACAGCTCTCCCTGCCTAGGAGGCAACTGCCTGAAATCTCATTGTGGGCCTGAAGAACAGGAAGGGAATCCTCAGTAGTCTGCTCCTCACTTAGAAGAGCAGGCGTTTTCATTTAGGGAGTGGGAACGCTCAGGGGTTTTGCCTCACCTGCAAGCACAGCTTGTTTGCTTGTTGTTTTCTGAAGTTTTGGGAGTCCAGACATTTAGAAAACAGAAATACAAAGAACAATAAAAACTGCTAGAGTAGCATACAACTATATTGACAGGGTCTTACAACACAATCACAGCAATAGATTTTCTTGAGTAGGCAGTGTCTGGAAAGAGTCATTCGTGCCCAAGTACATAAATACTGTGCAATGAAAATGTAATGTGAAGAGTCTAAAGATATCCTTAAAACACAAGTGATTACAAACTCAGTTTCCTGTGTTCTCCAAAGATGTTCCCCATCACTGCAGTAAACTGTGTTTTTCAAACAGAAGAACTGAATCTCTACTGAACCTATGAAAAATCAGCACCTTGTGAATCCCAGAGACCTGGGCAGCATCCCGCGTGCTCTCTGCAGGATGTCATCAACTAGAAGTCATCCCTGTTGCTCCTGAGATCCAGTAGGCCTGCTCTATCAGAAGGTATATAAGAAAAGAAAGCAGAACAGCTCAAGGGTGGAATAAAAGAGAAATACTTCTGGAACCCAAAAGAAAAGTTAGTAAGTAGACATTTAGAACAAAGTGTGTCAACAAAGAAAAAAATTAACGGGGGAAAAATAAGAAACATTAGTAACACTATTATTCTTCAAGAGAAATTTCTGAAAAAGAATACAAGGATGTGGAGATTTTTTTCTGAAACCAAGGAGGACAGAAGACAATTAAATCTATCGAGGGGCCTGCAGGGAAGTTAAGTACTTTATTCCATTTCTCTTTAAGGAGAATGACGGGAAATTCTTCGTCAAGGGATACTCTCTCATGGGAAATCAAGGCACTGCTTGAAGATAGAGAAATCTCTAAGGAAGAGATGAGCATTTAACAATTTAAGGACCTTAGCAGTTCTGAAGAAAAGTTTCTAAACCAAAGCAGTCAGTTTCTGGAGCACTGACTTCACTTAAATCTTCCATCCCACTGCGGATGCACAACAGTAAGATAGAGATATCACAGAACAAACAACTTAATTCAAGGATTAAAATTCACGGAGATTTACTCGAATCAAGAGGCTGGATGCTGAGATCAGTTAAAAGAAAGACAAGCAAGTATCTGGAACAGTATTACTCAAGCAGAACAAACAACATATCTTTGTAAAGGTAAATAATGTACCTTTACTCCTGCAGAGAACTTGATAAATGTCAAACTGAAAGATCCAGCAGATATAGTAGATCTGGGCTTTTGAACTGCAGTTCTCAGCTAAATAATTATTTTAAGGTTAAGGCTCTGCCAAGAAATAAAAAGCAAGTGTCTGACAAAGTATAAATCTGTCACTCCTGGAGAGAAAAACCCTGGATGTCAATGTCAGAGATTTTATCAGCATGCTAATACCTGAAGTCAAAAGATAGCAGGCAGGCAGATGAACCACATGCTGTCAGTGGATAGCACTTCAGTAAACTGGAAGAGGTGATCTGTTCAAGACAGCAACAACAGCCCAGGGCTTGGCACCAGCATCCCTGCAGTGGGGCCACACATCAGATCAGCCCAGCAGTCTCACTGATAACAAACATGTTGCGTTTTTGGGAGGGTTCATTTTCTGTCAGGTCACTGAACTGATTCAGCTCACAGGACAAGAGCCACAAAACCAGATTCTCGTCTTATCAGAGCAGTGTGTTTCTTTTGTTAGCTTGAAATGGCCATAAAACCATGCTGAATTAAAAGTGAAACAGTTGAGAATAGTGTCACTTTCCAGCAGGCCAGCAACTGAAGGCTCACAGACAAGAAGAATGTCAGGTGACATTATTGTCACCAAATCATTTCCCAAATAGCTGGGGCTGACTTGATGCCTGCGCAGTTGAGACTTCAGTCTTGCAAAATAATCCTTTTCCATCCAGACACTGGACATCTATGGTTCTCAGTGAGCTTTTATATGATTGGAATATCTCCCAGTTAGTAACTGGATGGAGACACATTTCATGGGGATCACCAAATCATTATCAGTAATTACTGAGCTGGGCTTGAATTCACACTGGTGATTTAGCTGGAAAAGGTCCCATCTCAATATCCTGAACCATCCACTCTCCGTATCTAATTTGTTCTGAAATCACACCTCAGTGATCTGGCACCCCCACCTTGCCAACAGGAAGAGCCTCTTTCTGTGCCAATGGTTTTTATAACAGTAGGTTGGATCTTTATTTCCTAAGGAATGCAGTTACCAGAGTTTTGTCGTTGCCTTTTTTTCACATCACTAATCCAAGAGGCCAATTTGTTCCTTGTTCAAGATGATCTTATACAAAAATTCCTCCACGTGGAGTTCCTCTTTCACTATCCCTTCACTCAGGGTCTCAAAAAGGGAGGTAGCAAGGTCCACAGACTCGTTCCAGTAAAAGGAAGGAGGAAAAAAGGGTAGTTCAGAAAAGCAACAACTGGAATTGCGCCGCACTGATGCAAAGCTCGCACCAACACCAAGGCAATGCCTTCCTGCCCCAGGCACCCCCATCCATCTCTGCTGGGGTCCATTTTCAGCTGTTTTAAAGGTTTCTGTGATCTCCTCATTCTTAGATTATAGATCACGTAGGTTTGTGTAGGTGTACGCTTGGTTTTGTTATTCTCTGCAACTAGAAGTCAGTCACCAAACAGAAAGAATTAAAGTCAAGATTAAAGAAAAAAGCCAGGTTTAGCGACCAAACTGCATTCTGTAGAGGAGACACGCTATAAAAGGACTAAATATCCATCCTACCAGAGCACATTTGCAATGCACGCATTTCTGGCTACTAAGGTACTGTGCCAAACACAGCAGTAAATCCTCAACCGTTTGGCAGATCATCTCAACACGAACAGTACTGAAACCAAGAAATAAATGCATCCAAAAATTATTTTCCTGGGATCTGCTTGCTTAGGAATGCTCAATAAAGACCAGACTAAGTTGGTGCTTCATGAAAATGCTTAAGAGTCAAAACCTCGCCACCTCAAAACAAACAGTTTGTTAGAATTTCTACAATTCTCCAATTTAATTTATGATCTTCTCCGTAGGAAACAAAGCAGTAACTAGCCTAGGGTGCCAGCATCGGTTTGAACACGCAGTCAAAGGATTCACTCACCAATTAACATTGATTCTTTCTGGTACTCTTTGCTGAGGTGGCAGCGCTGGGTCACACAGGACACGTATCTCTCCAGAACATACCAGCACATTTCATAGTAGAAAGGATAACGGAATTTGGCATGCACCTGAAAGCAAGAGCGAGACTGTCAGTCCACGGGGAAGGGAAGTTTGCAGCACAAGGGCCAGTCATCATTCTCCTCATGTTATCAAGAGCACAAACAGTGTGCAGGGGGAGGGGAGGGAGGGTGGGAGCCGCGTGAGCCGTACGCCTTCAGCATACAAAATGAGAGCCTGCCTGCCTGCCTGCCATGATAGCATCATTTCTTGGTTCAGTAATTTGTATCCTCCTGGGGTGGCGGGAGAGGAAAGGGTTTGCGTTCTTGTGAAATCGTGGAAGTGATGGGTGGCCCCCAAAGCATTATTTACCTACAGTATAAACATAGGGTGGTCACATACAGATGTCAGTTGCCAGAATACAAGTTAAAATAGAAGCTCATTTTTTTCTTTTCCCAAGCACTATCAGATGATTTTTTATCAAAATGGCAGCATTACCTAAAATGACTCAAGCAGGAAATGCATCTTTTCTAATTATCGTCTTCCCAACAGTTTGATTAAACAAATGAACAAATTCTTAATTACTGGTAAATACACATTACAAGTAAAAATCTGGCTTGTGGTTTATGCTGAATATTTTGGTAGCAAGTGAACTTTTACCACAAACAAAACAGAAAGCAGGACTGTAACAAAAGACTGCCAAGCTGTGCACTTTTTCTTCCATCTTAGACCTGTTGTTCTCACAGAAAAAGCTTATTCTCCAACACTGTACATTTGGGAGATTATTTCAGATTAAGAAGAAAATTAAGAGGGTTTCGCAGCCTTCCCCTACAGTTTGCTGTTTGTGGGAGTCACTGCACCAAGGAAGAACCTAGGAAGCTCCTAAATGCAACAACATACATAAATTGCTTGCGATTTGTTAAAAATGGATGCCATGCATCTTGCACGCTCTTGTACTTAACGCTGCACACATCTTTCTCCTGGTGACACAGAAATCTGCATTTTGCAGGCCTGCACACATGCACTGCACAGGATTAAAGGAACTGCTTTAAGACACATTAAGCACTTTAACAGCTCACCTAGCCAAGAGGCGTCTGCCCAGCTTTAATAAAAATGCAGGACTGCACTAGAAATACCGTTACCTTGGAGAGCCCATTTAAACAACCAAACAATACAGAGCACCACCTGCATCACCCAAAAACCTGCAAGGTCAGAACAGACCCACTATCAGCAGCATCAGGCAGCTCAGGCTTGGCTCTGCACAGCAGGCCCAGTCAGAGCATCTGTCTGGTGACAGGAGCACCCACCTGAGCATGCTGAAGACTTACAAGAATGCCCATGCTTGAGAACCATTCCCAAGGTGGGTAAGGAACTTGCTGCTGTTCCCAGAGGAAACACAAACACTTTCAGCAATGAAACAAAATGTAATTAGGGGAAAACGCACTGTATTGTCCCACTAAAGGTATCACAGTGCCAGATTTAAACACAACATGGCAATTCCCAGAAGTTAGGATTTCTTAAATCCGACACAAATGCAGCTGACAAATCCGAACTGCGTGTCGCTACGGGTCATGCATCCAGCAGAACTGCAACTCTTCCAGTGTTTCCCTGCACTGTTTTTGTTTTGTTACAAAACATACTGGAGAAATAAAAAAGGAAAAGGAAAAACCAACAAGCATCCCCTTAAATGTGAGCATATTTAACCCCCGGGCCTTCTTGAAATAGAAAATCTTTCCTTCGGTTTAGTTATTTGTCACAAAGAAGAGACCCAGTCACTTATCACTACTACAGAACACAGGGGAAATTAGCCATGCTAAAATATATGCTAATAAAGGAACTCAAATTTTTCCAAGAGAGCACTGCAGGAAACGAAATTTGCGAAGAATTGACTTACAAAAACCAGGAAGCCGCTTTCCACCCCTCAGCCTTCAAAAGGTTTTCAGCCACATGCCTGGGAATATTAAAGACATCATTGCTCAACATTTGTTGACAGATTCTGAGCTTCACCAAATTTAGTTGTTACCAATGTTAATTCAATGTGAAAGACAAGGCAGTAATGCATGCAGTGCTCCCGTTATGTATATCAATCTTTAATATTCAATTTGAGTTCCTAATTGCTTCGCTATCAATGTTCCAACCCACAGCAAATCCCTCCATGCTTCTGTAATTCACCATTTGCCCAAGAAGGCTCTGCTTTCACAAACTTTCAGAAGAGCTGCCAGATAAGGTGAGAGACGCTGTGCAAAGACCTGCAGTGGCTTCTGCCATTACAGCAAGCCTAACTCTGCTTCAGAAATCTTTTAAAATTTGCCTAGTGGAGAAGTAGAGAGGAGTACCCTATTTATGACATCTCTGGACATTTATTAATTATAATGGATAAGAACTGTATTGCATATATGTCCACGCTTCCACCACTGTTGAGTTATGATCAAATGAACTCTGATTTTGGAGAAAAAAAGGAAGAAGTTCTGTGCTCAGTTTAAAGTGTAGCAGCTGATATGGCCACTGCCTGAGGATCAGATCCCCCACCAGCACGGAGACCGAGTCCATCGTCTAATGGGCATTTCCAGATCTAACTTCTATGATTAATAATTTACAATCCACTGAATATTTTCTCTAATTATTCCTCTGCAGTGAGAAAAATCATCTCTGGAGTATGATCCATTTCTTCAGTTCAAAGTGAAATAATTGTAGAGACTTGTATCGCCCTCCAAAACAAAACACTCCAAGCAAGCAAGGCACAGACTTTCCTTAAGAAATTATTTCCCTTCCACAATATCCATGCAGATGATTACAAACTCTATTTGTATTTCATCACTCCAATCAGAATCTTGGAAACCAATACATGATTATTTATAAGTTACGGTAGTATTTAAAGTTAGCAGATTAAGTTCCACAAAACCAGATCAGCACAAACAACATCATCTGTGAGTGACCACCTTACGTGTATCTGCCCCTCTGCACGTTCAAATCTTTTAAAGGTGTTGCATTTAGATGAGTTGAGCCTCAGGTTGACACGTTCTCCCCCTTCAGCATCACAGAGCAGAGACACCCCTATGCCAAGCTGATGCACCTCAGCACGGCAGCCTGCTCTGCAGTACTCAAGCTGGTCTAGCAGAGAGCTAAACAGCTTGGCCTATTTGACTAGCTGTTAATTGGCCTCTAGGAAAGCCAGACTGCAAAATGAGAGTCTCTACAAACTGTAAGGCTGGAGAAGATTTGTTTACCTCAACTGCACATTAGGAGCTGTTTCCAACAATAGACATGTTTTTTATTACTCCTTAAAACTATTTTAAAATGGCTATAACCCTCTTAAGAAGTCTCCCAGGGATATGAGAAATTAAGCTAGAATAAGCATGACAAGTACATAAACCAGGCAATTTTATCAGGCTGTAAATCAGCATTACTGTTTCAACCATGTATTTATTCTTGTCTTAGCTGCTAAAACAATAACAACTACACCTAGCATAAAAATGACTCTGAATATCAGCAAAGATGATTAAGCATTATATAGCAAGTTTAAACACAGTGAAACCTCCATAAAATTGCTCTGTGCCAAATGAAGAGGGGAAACACACCTGTATTACACTTTGATTTGAGTGTGGCGAATTACTTCGTCAACCACATCATGTAATTTACTTCTGTGCTGCACACAATGGAAAGATCAATACTGATGAGAAAGTCATTTGCAGTACGTTCACACTGCCAAATCTGTGTGAACTGCTTACTGTATGGAGCCTGCCATCCTAGCCTATGCATGGGTAAAATTATTTGGACAAATAGAATTATTTGCACAAAGAAATCACAAAATGTGATTGGCAAAGCAAATAAAGCAAAACACACCAGAATTCTATTTTGAAAACATTTATCCTTTAAGATTCCTGCATGTTTTTTCTTGTTTTTTTTTTGGGGGGGGGGGTGGAAGGGTAGGGTGGGGGGGTGTTATTTCCAAGTAACAGTACTGACGTTCCCATCTCTTATCAAACTTTAATTGCAAGGTTTATATTTTGTTACAGGCTTGAACTCTTATATTCTTCAGCTGTACACACAGGTTTGTTACTGTAAAGCTGCCTAAAAGCACAAGTCTGCAAACACAGGCACAGGATGCCCAATTCACACTGCTAGCACAACACAGTACAAGAGCTGAAATAGTTACTGTAAAGATGGGGAAGTTCTGGGCTGTTGGCTTACAATGGCCTTTTTTGATACCCTGAAGTATTTTTTGAAAGGGAAAATTATAAAGAAAGACATTGGACTTCAAAGAAAATCAAACAAGTCAAGGTCTGATTTGCGATCTCCAAATGTTGCACTATTCCTTCACAAAAATCAGTCATAGGGCATTTTTAAAGAGGCAAATATCACACTCTGAGAACCTTCCCATAGGATCAAGCCACCAGTGACTTTTCAAAGGCATTTCAGTTAACTGTCTGGCAGGTTCCTAAAGGTTACAAAAATACCTAACCATAATGGGGCAATCTGCCTCCTGCTATAAAAGCTTTGGAGATCAAAGCTGCATCCAGTTTCCCCAGAAAGGCCTGACATGAAGCACTACTAACCAGTTCCAACTCTAGCAAAACGTGTGACTTTGGGTTGCTAAGTCCAGTGAGAACAAGATGTCAGCTCTTCTACTACATCAGGAAGAAGAGCATTTGCTTGCCATCTTCCCCACAGACATGAATGGAAATAGTTTCTTTTCCCTTCAAGTTGCCAGTGCCAGTATCTATCACGACAACAACGCACCTTCACTTTGAGGAGGTGCTGTACACGTGCCCTGCACCGTTGGCTCTTATTTACAGACACTAAGAACCTTCCTGTGCCTGGCACCTTCGTGTAGCCCCAGTCCACCTCTGGCCTCCTGCTCTTTCTCTGAAGGGCTCCTACAGCTCAGCTCAGCTCCCTTCACTCTGCAAAAGAAGCTGGTGAGTCCCTTCTAGCTTCTGCTATCAGAACATTTTCTTGTTCAAGCCCCTTTACTCCCAGATACTTCACATTCCTGCCTTGGGAACATCTACTCAAAGCCAGGCTGCACTCTACTCTGTCCCTTATTTCCACTCCTGTTTTCCACTACATTCTTTCCATTCTAGCTGCTCTGAATTTCAGCATTTGCCTTTACCTGTCTTCCTCTAGGAATTCATTTTTCTACTTAAGATTCCTTCTTCCCATTAAAATCACTCTAGGAAACCAAACGCTTCCAGCACTGCTTTGTGATGTGAAGATTACCAGGCCCTGCCACCTCCTGCACAATCAGGGAGCAGCCCCTTCCCAACACAACACTGGCAGAGAGGCTGGCAACAGTCTTCCATGCACTGAGCTAGAGATGCACTCCTGAACAATGTTGGTGTCTCAGAGGAAGGCAATCTCACACAAAGGAAGAAGATCTGGGGCAAAAAGCCCACTTGGAGCCAGAATTCTGCCTTCCTGTAGAGGTGAACACTGAACACTACTGATGTATGATTTCAAGACTTCCTAGTGATGAAGCACTGCAGCTTCCTGCTGTTTTGCAGCCCATTCTCCATGAGCACTTCACCTAGCACATGTGCCAGTGGTTTATCAGCACCATTGCAATAGCCAGCTACAGAAAGCCTCTATCTAAATTTGCATCACATTGCTCTGATTGCCATGCACAGTTTATTTAACAGCCTAGTAAAGTAGTGGCACTTCCTTTGGATTCTGATACTTTATGAAATTCAGCCAGGAACTGAAGTTTATCAATGAACAGCATCACTTTCACTCCCAACACAGAGGCTGCATGGTCACCTCCTCCAGGACGCCGGACCCTTTCTAGAGGCAGATGCTACACCCAGATGAACATCACAACCTCCAGTCTAATGTCTCAACCCAGCCTCTGTCCCATGACATTTTGCACTATATTGAGTGACTGTAAAACAAAATCCTGCTAAGAACAGAAAATGCTGTTTCATAAGCAGCCTCTCTGCAGCTTTCTCACTTCAGCTGTGGACAGCAAAACCATCTCAGACCCATTAGGTCTCCATTCTTAGATGTCTATTGCCAGTGTGCAAAGACAAACAATCAGCAGGGGATTACCAGAAGTACAGGCACAAAGGTCTGTGGTGGCAATAGGCTTCTGTGCAAAAGGGGATGTGTTTAAAAAGTTCAGTGGGCAAACAGACGATACAGAACGGACGTGTCTGTAAGAAGCAGGGGAAAAACAGATGAGTAAATGCCACTAAAAATAGCCAGCATCTGAAAGTCTCATTATTTCATGTTTACCTCTCAATCAATCTGACATGGAGATCCCACCAGCTCTAGTTTCTCAGAAAGGAATACAAGATAGAGACAGGTCACAGTGACAAAGAACTGTTCAGTTAAAAAGAGAATCGAGTGTCCTTACCCTTGTTCTGTCCTCAATTTCATAGATGCGAAGCTGCATGGGAACATTAAAGCTATGCAGGATATTTCCACCAAACACCAGAGAATCTACTGGAGTATAAACCGCATGTATCCACCCTAGAGAGGGAAAGCAAAGAGCTGAGAATGCCTCGTGCTATGTAGTATTACAGAGCAATTTATCATCACATTTTAGCAACCCCATAAACCCCATTCTGTGGGGGATGAGAGGTTAAAGCTGTGACACGTTAAATGGCACCAAGACTAATAATAGCAGAAGGCAGCATCTTATGATGTACATACAGTCTCACAACCCTCTGTATATTGAGCACTATTAATCCACAGAACAGTTACAGTGTTTACTGAGAACACGCAAGCTTGTGACTCAACCACATCCATGACTAAGAAGTAAATTCAGTCTGCTCTACATTCTTGGCTCTTAGACAATCTTCTGGCACCTCCAGAAGGGTTGCAAATCATGTTAGCAGTGGTGGTGGGCTAGGGCTAGAACTGGACTGAGTCACATTCAATTTGTTTCACTTCAGCACCAGAGCACACATCCTCAGATATCAACAATTTCAAGTTATTACCAGACCTCCTTCAGAGGTGAAAGTTTCATATCCTATTATCAACTTCCTGAAGCAACCGAAAATCTCTCAGTCTCCAGTTAAGAGACTTAACATTTCTAGTACTCAATCTGATGAAATTGCCCTGGTCCCATCCTGGAAGGGACCAAATTCACTTTTCCCAGGCTCCAAAGCGAGGGAAGAATTTTCTACCACAACAAAAATCCAGGCACAGCAATTCAGGCAGCCATACACAAGCTCTTCTGATTCTGCATTGTTTGCTTGGGATGTCAGGAGCTGAGGGTCTGGCTATGCAAGACTGTAGCCTCTGATCTCTGCAGTGAAAAAAGAATTGATTCTGCTAATGATCTGGGAACCACAGAGACCAGATACTACATTTTTTCCCCTTTTTAATGAAAAGCATTACAATTTATAAACCAGCAGATAGCAAAGCAACGCAGAGGGCAGTCAATTTTCTTCTAACTGTGCAGCACTTTCTATTAAAGCCATGGCAGCTTCCCTCCTCTTCAAGACCAGTGAGAGAACAGGGAAATGCCATTCAGCATACAGGGTTCTTCAGCCAGCAGCCACAAAAGCCAACTTCTGCTACAATCCTTAAGCCATAAGGACCAGCCGAGCTACATCCCAGAAGTCCTTGAGCTACAGCAGATGGCAGAGGCAGGGCTTTCATTTAAGGGCATATCAGTAGGAGTCAGGAAGGAAAAGAAATCAACGCAGGAATTTTTTCCCTGCAAACACCACTCTGCATGCATTTTTCTGAATTTCAAAATCACAGAAAGGCTGAGGTTGGCCAGGACCTCTGGAGGTCATCTGCTCCACCCCCCGCTTGAGCCAGGCCACCTGCAGCTGCATGGGACCACATCCAGGCAGCTTTTGTGTATCTCAAGGGACACAGATACCACAGCCCCCTCTTGGCCACCTGTGCCAGTGCTCAGTCAATTTACAATGATAAACGTGATGCACAGAAAAACACAGGTGGCTTGTAGCTGCGGCACATCAGGTATTACCACATCTGTCCTGCTCCAGTTAGCCTAATTACAGAGTCCCCTGCTACCATTCAGCATGTTTGAAAATCAAGAATAACCAACTAGAGAGGATTTTTTTTTCCCTTCCTTTAAGGGTAATTCAGCAACCATAGAAAAAAAAACTTCACCTAAAGCAATTCATCCCCTCACGTGAAATACATCAGTCTGCACTAAGAGCAAAGTACTGGCAAGATTAATGACAATCCCGATCCTGGTCTTTGGGAAGTAAAAAAAAGATGCAAGGTCAAGGCATTTAATGCTTCCACCAGGTAATCAAAGATTTCTGGAGTTTAGGGGAAAGAATGGAAACCCTGCACTGAAGCATATCTGCTACTGAGTCCCCAAAGCTAACTTACTGGATAGGTGGCAAAATCGCTGGCACAGTAATTAAGTTTGTCAGATCCAGAGATGAACAAACTGAAGCTCCAACAAGTGGAACGCCTGGTGCACAGCTACACAGCTGAGAGGTGGCAGAGGTCAGGGCAGGAGCAGCCAGTTACCAGCACAACACGGAGCAGCCCTCACCACTGGCTTCCATGGCAGCTCCAGCAGCACATGTCAATCCGCGTACGAACAGATTGAGAGATGCAGCAAGTTATTTCCATGGAATCTTCATCATCATTCTAAATACAGTCTGTTATCAAAGAATTACAACCCAATTAAGAGCAACTGATTAACTGAGCTGAAACCTGGCTTTCTAGACATCTGTGAAAGGTAAAATAAATATTCTTCATTTTACAAAGAAGTAAAACACCATCAAAACACACTTCTGTTTTTCAAGTGCCTCTTTTCAATACAACCCACTCAGTAGCCTCTTCCTACAAATTATATTTCCTCAGTGAAAATTCCACACTGGAGTGCAATCGATTTCATTTTTTCCTTGCTCTTTGGGTTTCAGTCTCATCACAAGCTCCCCAACCTCTCAACTCTGTGCTATTAAATGTCAAGGATCTTTGTACTAATGGCCTCTGGACTTCCTTGGTAGCAGCCTCAACATCATCCAAGAGAAACATGAGCCAATGATGCCATGAGCCAATGCTCCAAAAAATGGGGTCCCAAACACGGCAGTTCCTCAACAGAATGATTATCTAACACAAATGGAGCTTCAGTGTTGTTACTGGAAAGCTAGAAGAGATGCGAACTAAAGGACTTCCCTAAAATACTTCAGACAACATCTGGTTCTGCAGATAATAATTAATTCCCTATTTATGTTTATAAAACAGATAGCTACTCATTAACAAACAGTGAGCACTTCAATCGACAGATGTAAATGCCTACCTTCTGAACTAAGGCCCTTTGAGATACACGTATTTCCAATAATAAGACAGAAAGACCTGTTCCTTAATGACATACTTCTCAACAACAAAGCACTGAAATCCACTCGGGTTAGGAAATAGATTAAAAACAAACCAGAGATCAAGCAACCCACAGAAAGCCAGTGACCATAAAAACCTCGGAAGTCAAGTTCCCTACCTCTATCCAAAGCAGAGCAAAACAATTTCCACGTGTGGCTCGGAGATGAGTAAGGACAATATTGGGGTACCCCCCATTCCACATGGGTTCCAGGGACACACCAGATCTCCAGCAGCTCACTTGCTGCCACAGGGAGGGCACAGCCCTGGCAGAGCTGTCACCTGGATCTTGGCCACTCAGCTGCAGAGCGTTCTGCAGTCACACTGCATCCCAAAATAGTTTCAGCTCGCCTGAGGAACACGGAATATTAAGACTGCAGAGACACAAACATGGAAAGGTGTGTTCCAGGGACGCAGGACACTATGTGCAAGATTAGTCTAAAAAAGGTGAACTGACAATGTAGAAAAACACAGGAAGACTGGCACAGAAGCTACAAGGAAAAAAAAATCTGTTCTAATATTAACAAGAGTGTGACAGAGAAAAACTGAAGACACCAATACCAGAAAAACAGAAGCAGGAGGAAAGAGACAAGCAGAAAGCAGGAAACACTTTCCACAAGCCACACTTTCAGGAAACACTTTCCACACATTATTTTGTGGAAATGAGCTCTGGGAAGAGATAAACTTGGATGGCACATTCAATTAATTTCTACAGATTAGAAGCAAGCAGAGCTCAAATCGTGAGGAGGATGAATGTTCATTGTGACCACAGAGAACAAAAACACCCATGTTGGAAGCCTCCCAGCTGCAGTGGTTTGTAAAGAGAGAGACCTCCAAAGAAGGTGCACATATCCATGAGGCAGAAATGAAGGCCACTGGGATTGCTTTACCATCATCCGCACCCATGCACCCTGCCTGCACCTGAAGAGGGGCACCAATTCTCCCTCAGCCATTGCTTTCTGCTGTTTACATAAACTCTGGTACACTCTGCTGCACAGCCCTGGGTGTTCCACGGGTCGTTGTGTGGCAAGAGGTGAATAACTTCTCACCTTGGTAACGCTCTGAAAGACAGCCATGTTCTCTCAAAAAAAAAAAAATGTGGAGGGGCTGCAACACAATAACATACCACAAGTGTAATTTTATACTTAATGCTGAAAAAGAAAACCAACCAACCAACCCAACACTGGCATAGTAACACAGGAAAAGGAGAAAAGATAGAAAAAAATCCAGAAGTCGAGACATTGTTCCTTTCTGGTTGAAAGACAAACAAAAGCACCTGCTGAACATTATCTAAAGCTACTACTGAATCATACAGATGAGAGAGACACACAGAGGCTGTGTGGCCTCGGGGATCGATCAATAAATAGAAAACTTCCTCAGAGGTGATCGGTTTCAGTCGGCCTGCCTCACCAGCAGCGCTGCCCATCACGGCAAGGCCAGCCCTCCCCTGGCAGAGGCGCCGCGCACACGGAGGCAGCGCTGCTCCCCGCAGGTCGGTGATGCTGGTGCAGCTCCGTGCCGTTTGTGGCACGGTGGGATTTGCCCACTTGGGTTTCTTTCTGAAGTTATCTTTTTTATTTCAGTTCTTGGTGATTAATGAGCATTTCTCCCTTCTCAAAATAATCCTAGATTATGAAGCAAAACCAGCGCTGAGCAGGAATTTTATTGGCGAGACTCTGAAATACCCTCAGCTGCTTTACAGTTACAAATTGTTCCACTGCTGCTATGAAAGGCTTGAATATTTAGATGTTATCATCTCCAGTAAATCAAGAAGGTAAAATTAACAGTAAAAAAAACCTTTTCTGAACAGCTAAGAGAAAGATACAATCTCATTATCTTATGAATTTTATCAAACAAGGATCATTAAATATTGCAAATTTGTTAGATGATTTCAGAGGACTGCAAATTCCTACTGCACCTTCAAGAATGCAATTATCCATCTGTGAATAATAAAAAAGATTATTAACAAGTAAAGCTATGGGGCAAATTGACTACCAGCTCCAAGGCAAACCTATGGTACATCTGCTTCCAGCAGAAACTGAACAGGTATTTTGCTTTATAACATAGAAAGCATACACATTTTCCTACAATTCTATAGCAGCTTGGTCTGGAAAAGCTGAAACAGTCAAGTCTCAAAAAGAAAAACCAAAGTGACA